CTATACACATTCTCATACTACCATCCTTCTTCTTAACAAACAAAGATGGAGCACTCCATGGGGAGGCAATAGGGAGAACAAATCTCTTATCAAGGAGCTCTTGGATTTGAGCCTTAAGCTCTCTTAATTCTGTCGGAGCCATGCGATATGGAGGGATAGATATGGGGAGTGTTCCAGGCCCTAAATTGATGCAAAAATCTATATCTCTATCCGGAGACATACCAGGAAAGTCATTAGGAAACACTTCACTAAATTCAGACACCACAGGAATAGACCCAATGGATGGAGCCACAATCTCGACATCACTAACATGAGCCAAATAAGTCAAACAACCCTGCTCTACTAATTTACTAGCCCGAATGAAGGATATAATTTTAGCTTGCTTAGGATTGTACACCCCTTCCCACTCTAATTTTTCCCTTCCCAGAATTTCTAGAGTCACAGACTTAGTATTACAATTAAGCACAGCGTAATAGGAGGACAACCAAGTCATGCCTAAGATTATATCAAAGTCAATCATATCCAAAATCACCAAATCAACCTAAGTCTAAGAACTCATAAACACAATAGGACAAGCACGATAGACATGGGTGACTATGACCGACTCTCTAACAGGGGTAGAAACCTGAATGGGAGCATCAAGTATATCATAAATCATCACAAAATCAGAGGCAAATCTCACATATACATATGAATAAGTACAACCCGGATCAAACAACACATTAGACCAGTACATGTGATCACCGCGTCGAACGCCTCTACCTTATTCTTGCCCAGAAAAGCATAACATTGAGCCCTATCATCTTGTGGAGCTACTTCCCTGCCTGTTTGCGCGTTACCCCGACCTCCATTACCATTACCATCTCATCTACCTCCACGGCTCCGCTGATTACCTCCTCACCTACCTTGTGGACGTCCTCTACCATTATTACCATTCCCCTCGGGTACCACTGCTCTAGACTTTTGCTGTTGCACGGAATCTAACATACGTAGGTGGGGACAATATCTCCTCATATACCCAGGTTCACCACAGTTGTAGCAAGTATGATCAAAAGATAGTTTGTCATCTGTCGAAGGCACGACACTCTGACTATCTTGAAATTATGAGATGGAGTTCCCGAGTAGTTACCTGTAGAGGCGGGCATAGCGGATTGAATTTGCTTGGCTGCAAGTGTGGGCCTTCCAGACCCCTTAGAGTAAGAGCCTTGAAAGTTACCTGAATTCTTTGCTATTTTTGCCCAAGCCTTAGCTTGACCGTCTCGCCTCACCCCCTCCACTTTCTTAACATAGTCTGTCACCTCATTAAAACGCCTCCTTGCAGAAGTCATATGAACAGATAATACTTGCAACTCAGAATTCAAACCTCTAATAAACAACCGGATCCTCTCCTCCTCAGTAGTAACCAACTGTGTAGCATATCTGGATAAGGCATGGAACTTGGCCTCATAAGCAGCCACAGACATACCGCCTTGTTCTAAAGTCATAAATTCATCCTTCTTGTGATCCTTTAAAGTTCTGGGCACATACTTTCTAGAAATGTCACGCCCCAAGAGCACCCCCTAGGCGTAACACAGCGTACTTGATCCCGAAGGGGTCTTATACAATCGCTTAGCATAATCGTCATTGTATATAGACATTGAATAATGCGGAAATTTAAAAACTTTTCAACATCAATGTCAAAGTGTCTCATAATAGAAAATAGAATGTCTAGACATCATTATCTCTATGAAACCCTCTAAGTACACATAAGAGTCTCAAATAGGGACCATATCCCTTAACAATAGAATTGTCTCAAAATGACAAGTACATAAGAAGTCTAATAGTCTATTCCAATATGAGGAACACAAGTGTCATAATGTGTGTCCTCGAAACTTGAGGACATACCAAAAAGTCTTGGAGAAAGTCTAAGTCCGAGCTTGAGTGTCTTAGTAGCACAATCACTTCCTGGAACCTACACTTAGTAGAAGAAGGAAGATATATGGGTTAGCACAATCAATTGTACTAAGTATGGAAGCCATGCAATTAAAACCATTTAAATCATGCAAAAAGGGACCTTTAGTTGAAAACATGTTATTTCAAGTTAAAAGCCATAATGCATATTCAAGGAACATGTAGCCAATTCACATTACAAGGTAAAGAGATATTCCTTATCATAACAAGAATCCATAACACATACCTTACATATTTGAATTCCATTTACATCATACCATCATAAGACACCACCCATGATCCCCCTTTCAAGCTCACTTGTGCAATGTACATATGAAGTCCCATACCCCCATCTATACTAAGTAAAGCTATCAAGAAGACACAAGTATAGTCACATACATAATCAATATCATAATAGGTGAAATCAACCTTAACATAATTCTTGCCTTACCACATATAAAGGACTCACACAAGAACTCCTCAAAAAACCCACTTGTGCAATGCATAGGTAAAGTCCCATACCCTCACCTATACTAAGTAGTATTCTTCAAGTAATCCTAGTTAGAGTTCATAAGTCATTTACATAAGTCATATTTATACATTAGATCATCCTTTTGAAAATATAAGGACATTAGCAATAACCGACATAGACCATGGGAGCTTCATGGAATCCGGTGTTCTACTCCCACACCGAAAAGAGAGTGTTCCACTTGCCACGGTAGAACTAACCTATTAGCATCTAGGTGGATCCACTAGCTAATACCTATGTGGACAAACATAGTTATGGAACAAGGAGATTGCTACTAGAAACCCGGACTTGCTAAACGTAAAAGGCTTCCATTTCATGAGACAACATATATATTGGGAACTCGGACTTGCTAAACGTAAAAGGAACCCATATGGGAAGCCAGACTTGCTAAACGTAAAAGGTTCCATCTCATATTCATGTTCACTCAGTGCTAAGCAAAATTCCCTTTTAAAGTAGTATTAGGCCTTTACTTACACATTAATTCATTAAGGAGTGCGTTAGGGATTCAACCCATCATTCATCATATAGCTCACAAGTTCTAAGATGAGAATAACCTTTCATCGTAGAACCATCAACATATAATAATGTTCATTCATAACATAGTCACGGAGTGTTCATGAGATTTACCTTCTATTCATCATACCAACACTACCATAATCATAGCTTAACATTCATGTTTGTATCATAGCATACTTGTCAACACTTGGGATTGTAGGGAAGAGGAAACATAACTCACTCACTATAATTCATAATCAAGTAGCACCTCCACCATAAGTGGATCAACAATTCAACATGTGAACATTCATCAATTTGACAACCTTCATTCATTACCTTAAAGGATTACATCAAGATTCAACCCTAATTCATTGATAGTCATTCATCATATATAGTAACATCATAATCCAATAATGAATTCCACATTTATATATTAGATTCTCATTCTTCATTCACCATTAAAGTCCTACTAGGGTTTAAAGTGAGAAAGAAGGGGAAACCATGGGTCTTGTGGGGATTTGTTCAAAAACCATAAACATAACATTAATTCATCCACAAATTATCATATACAACCATAATTAATCATTATAATTCAATGAAAACACATTTGCAAAGTGACCCACGAAATTGAGAAAAAACCTAGAATTTGGGGAACTTTGAAACCCAATTTTTGAGAGGGCCTCTTGGGGAAAAGATCCCAAGAGTGAAGAACAACCATACCTTAGTTGATTCCTTGAGAATCAATGGAGAAACTCCAAGCAATTTGGGAAGAATCCTTGAAACCCTAGCTCCAATGTATTCTTCTTCTTCTAGAGTTTTTAAAGAGAGAGTTTAGAGAGAAGTAGGAGAATTTTGATTTCAATTGGGTGTTGTGAATAATGACCAAAACTAATGAATTTAGACTTAAAAAGCAATATATATTTAACCCCTAAAATACCCAAAACACCCCCACTTAATTTGGACTTAAAAGGAAAAGTCCCAAAACTCCTCATTTAAATGGTCCCCGTCAGGGACCACGGCCAACACTTCTTGGGTCGTGAAAGTGCACCATGGACCGTGGTGTTGGAGGCAGTAGCCCCTCTTTCGTGCACAAGCCAACCCTTGGCCAAGGCAAGACCACGGAGCTTCCCACGAAAGAGGAGGATAAAAAAGCGACCAACATCAAACATTGACATGAATTGGATCTTCTATTTCTTGATGAAGCTCAAATTGTTGAGGAAAATGTACGCAAACTACTAAAGAAGGTTGAGAACTTGTGGAGGAGTTTAATGTAGTGCATAAATTAAAATAGAGTATTCTTAAATTGAAATAGCATAAATTATTTTATTATGTTGGAGGATTCATAGAAAGCTGACTTTATCTATCAAATGCTTGCTCACATGGGAGCATTAAGAAAAAATGTTGAGTTCAAGTAAAGCGTCTTCAAGAGTCTCAGGACTATATAAAATATAAATGTGAAACTTAAAATGATTAGTATATGCTAAAAAAGGTAAGGTACAAAAACAAAATATAGATGTGCTCCTCTTTATTTACTCAGAAAGATCCTTGGGCAATTTTTTCCTCAAATGTGATTAGAATTTTCAATGAAATGTTGTCACATATATGATTGAGTTAAAATAAATAGAGTTCGATGAACCTAACTCTCACATAGAAATAATGATAGAGGAAAAAACTTTAGTCTGTCCGAACTCTTTTGGTGTAACTCTCACTATGCAACAGGAGAGTTAAATAGGAATTCTCTTCTTTCCCCTTAAAACACACAACCTCGCATGGTATGGGGTTGTCACTTGTGTTCTTATCTGGGAAAGACAAAATGAATATGATGAATGTCAAAGTAGAGAAGCCAACTTAGCGTTTTATCTTCATTCCACAATAATGAGAAAAAATGATACCCATTAACTCTTCCACTAATTTAGCAAATGCAAATTAACACATGTATGCTTGAAAAGCAAAGTAAATGTTGAAAACTATCTATTTCCCTGTAGTAGAAGTTGAAGAGTCTAGATAAAACCCAAATACAAGAGTCTTTCCTATCCAGAGAACCTGCTTAGGAAAGGATATCACAACTTGGATTTATCTCTACAAGTGCATCAACAGTTCTAGAGCTTATTCCGAGACAATGTTGTATGTTCAAGCCCTGAAGGTTCTGAACCAAACAGAGCAAGAAGGGTAAGCTATTATCTGACACAAAAGGGCAACCAGACAGTGAGAGGATATGCAGGTGAAGTTCTGTAGCATTGGCCAAAGTTTTAATCCCTGAATCGGTGAATCCACTCTTGGAAACATCGAGTACATTAAGCATCCAGCAAGACTTCAAAATTTCTACTAATGTTGCATCAATAACATGTTTGCAACCATCTACGAGCAGAGACTTCAGAGATCCCCCGTTCAGCTTAACTATGGTTGAAACTGATATGTCTGTAATATTGACATACCCGCTTAAATTCACCGCCACCAAATTAGCTGCACAATTTTGAATAAGAGGGATGAGCCCCTCGTCAGTAATTCTAAGAAGCCCACTCAGATCTATATGAGTCAGTTTGCGACACAGTCCACCTACTACATCAATTGTAGTATTGCTTACTCTAGGACAATTGTGAATAGCCAAAGATACTAGTGAGTTACGACCAGAATCCACCAAAGTTAATGGATAGTCTTCCACACCAATGCAGCTCACCAAGGAAAGAGTCTCTAGTTTTGTACAACAGTTAAAAAGTATACCTAGAGACAGATCCCTGATGCATAGGCCCTGGAGCCTTACTTCTGTTAAAACTTTACCAGCTAAATAAAATAGAACTGCTAATCCATGATCCCCAATGAGTAGAGAATTCTTTAATAAGACAATCTTCAGGTTCGGAAAGTATTGACCCACAGCTTTAAGCGACTCATTCCTTATGTTTGAACAAGAATCTATTGTTAAAGAGGTCATATCGAGACAGTTCTTCGCAATGTCCAACAAAGACTTGTCAGTAATTATTGGGCATTGGAAAAAATCAAGCTTCTCTAATAGATGGCACCCATGAGCTATTTCAGATAAGCCTTTATCACCAACAAAAGACACATTCCACAAGGAAAGATCGCTGAGAGTAGGGCAACCTCGAGCAATAGCCACAAGACCAGCATCAGTCACACTAAGACAAGGATTGTTTCCCTGAATGGATAACTTTGCTAAGCCTCCATGATTTGCAGTTCCAATGGCAATAGCAGCAAGTCTGACATTTGTGGCTTCCCTGCCAAAAAGGGACCTGACAAGATATCCCTCACCTTCTATACCATTAGATTCTGCAATATCATCTTTGTGAATGCTGCTTAAAAGCATAATCCATCGCTTGGAAACACAAGCACAGACACTTGTCTCTTGGCCACTGGGAAGACGTTTAAATACCTCAAAGAGGCATTCATCAGGAAGAATTTCAATGGAAGGATGATTCCTCTGCTCAAAATTTTGAGAAGCGGTAGTGGCACAAATCCTCTCCCTAGAAGGAAAATTTACATTCCAATTTTGACCACGTGATAAAAGCAAAGATGATTGTCTTGAACTTGGATATGAAGCTCGAAAAAAAGCACCATTTTCTGAAAACCAAAAGATTAAACACATCAGACAAAGATAGGAATAGAAACTTATATACATGATATACCCATATGTTTTCTTATCACCATCATATATAAACTATCACTTGAAAGAGGGAGAAAAAATTAAAAATAAGATAAAGACACAAGCTTTGTGTTTAGTACGATTTCCATATTTTTCATGTTTGGTTGACTTCAATGTTTTGGAAAATATTTTCCAAATAATCTTATTTTCTCAAAATTAAGGAAAATTACTTACCTCCGAAAATAATATGGAAAACATTTTCCAAAACTCATTTTCAACTAACACGTCAACTTTGGATAGGGTTGCAACCATCTACAAGTAGAGACTTCAGGTACCAATTTTTCAAATTAGTATCGAGAATCGATAATTAAGATGTCAGGTTGCAGTTTGGGTGTTGGGTCATGTGTAAGGGTGCCTAGGTCATATCCTAGGTCGGGTGTTATGGTTGTATCCCATTTTGTGTGTTGGGGTCCAAATCAGGTCTTAGTTCGAATATCGGGTCCTTAAATGAAAGTCGGGATCAAGTCCTAGGTCACGTGTCAGGTCGGATACCAAATTGATCATAGCATTTTGTTCTGGTTTGGAATTGGGGTCGGGTCCTGAATCAATAATCAGAATTGTTTATCGAGTTAGAAACTATTTTTCTAAAAGGTATATTCTACTCTGTAGCCGAAAAAAATCTAGAAAATGTGTTTTATTCACTCCATTAGTTTCTAAGTTACATTATTTTATGCTCATTAAAAAATAATAATTTTTTAATATAATGAACTGTGATTTATTACCAGTCATGAGGTGGATTAGAATTGCAAATTTTGAAAATAATCTTTTTTTAATTACTACTATATATAAGGAAGGATATCCAATTTTTGTAGTCTTCACATAATTTTCTTGTCATTTCTATTCGAAGTTTTACAAATTTGTAAGTCCTCACATATTTGTTAAATTTTAAGAACTTCAATGATTTTCTACAATTCTTTCAAAAATGATGATCTAATGATTTTCTCTGCTTGTAGATGGTTGCAACCCTAACCCAACACCTCAACTACCCTAAATCAAATCTCAGTTACCGATTCTCGATACTTGTTTGGAATCCGACTCATAATTCTTAATTTGGGACCCAACTCAAGACCTTGATTCAAGACCCAACTCTCGAGTCTAAAATTTGCTCGGGGTCGATCCTCGATTTGGGTGTCAAATCCTAGGTAAGCACTCAAGGTCGAATTCTAGGTTGGGTGTTTGAGTGGTGATGTGAGTCGGGTGTTAGAATCTAGTTTTGGGTAGAGAGTTGAGGTCAGGTCACAAGTGGTTGTTGGGTTCATACACATACTCAAACAGCAAACCAAGGTGGAGACTGAAAAAGTTGGTTTGGTCCTAGTAAGGTCAAGCCCAATGGAAGAAAAATCCATGTGCCAATTTACTTGGCGAGGAATTAAACTTTGAGAGCAAGCTAAAATTTGTGGAAGACAATTTTTGTATTTCTTTTCTTTGTGCTTGTAGCCTAAGTTTGACCACCAATAAAAGGATGGTCATTCTTCATTGTTGAATTCATCCTAAACTCATAGTAAAATACATTAGAAGAACACATAATCAGTAGAGCAATTCTCTTAGATGTATTTGGGATCTCTCCCATTTCTTTAATAATATACAGGTAGTTGTTCTCTGGTGGATATAGGATCATTCGAATCTAAACAACATTAAATATTGTTGTTCTTCCTAGTTTTTATTTTCACATTTCTGCTAACATGGGTTTTGTCCTAGTTTGAGTGTCGGGGTAAGAATTAGGTCCTAGTTCGAATATCGAGTCTTGAAACGAGTGTTGTGGTTAGGTTCTAGTTTGGAAGTTCAGGTCCCAATTAAGGGGTCACGGTCAAGTTCCAATTTGGAAGTCGGTCCTTGGACGAAAGTCAGGAATCTCAGTTTGGTCCTCATTCGGAAGTCTAGTCTCGCATCAGGTGTTGGGGTCAGGGTCGAGTCCTAATTTGAAAGTTGGTCTTAGTTCAGATGTCAGGTCTCTAGTTAGAGTATCAAGGTTAAATCAGAAATCATGTGTTGGGGTGAGGTCCCAATTCAGAAGTCAGGTCTCTATTCAAGAGTAGAGTTTGGATCTTGAATAAGTTTTGGGGTCGGGTGTCGGGTTAAGGTCTTGCATTAAAAGTTAGGATTTGTATTGGGTTTCAGGGTAGGGTCTGAGTCACTGTTCAAAAGTCTGGTCCCATTTCAGATGTTGTGTCCCAAGTTAAATTTTGAGGTTGGAAATAAAGTCGGGCGTTCAGGTAGGGTCATGATTAAGAAATAATGTCCTAATTCAGAGTTCGGGTTAGATATCAAATCAGTCGTCAAGGTCAAATATGGGTAATATTCTAATTTGAAATACAGGTACCCATTTGGGTGTAGAGGTCGTATTCCCGTTTTAAAGTTGGGTCCTAATTCGGGTGTCAGGGTCAGGTCCTAATTTGCTAGTTGGGTTTCTAATGAGAGCTAGTGTTAAGTCCAAATTCAAAAGATTGGTCCCGGTCAGCAGTCAGGGTCAAGTCCCTATATGTAAGTTGGGTCCTAGGTCTAAAGTCATGAGTCGAGGTCGCGTCTCATATCAACTATTGGGGTTTGGTCGTACTTCAAAAGTTGGGTCCCATATCGGGTGTCGAGGTCAAGTCTGGATTTGGACATCGGATCCCAGTTAAGATCCACGGTTGCAGTTTGGGTGTTGGTTCACGTGTTAAGGTGCCTAGGTTGGGTGTTGGGGTTTTATCCCATTTTGTGTGTTGGGGTCAAAATCAGTTCTTAGTTCCAATATCGGGTCCTTAAACGAGAGTAGGGGTCAGGTCCTAGGTCGAGTGTCAGGGTCGGATACCAAATCAATCATAGCATTGTGTTATGGTTTGGAGTTGGGGTCGGGTCCTGAATCAATAATTGAAATTGTTTTTCGGGTTAGAAACTATATTTCTAAAAGGTATATTCTACTTTGTAGCCGAAAAAAATCTAGAAAATGTTTTTCATTCACTCCATTAGTTTCTAAGTTACATTATTTGATGCTCATTAAAAAATAATATATTTTTTATATAATGAAGTGTGATTTATTACCAGTCATGAGGTGAATTAGAATTGCAAATTTTGAAAATAATTTTTTTTAATTACTACTCTATATAAGGAAGGATATCCAGTTTCTGTAGTCTTCACATAATTTTCTTGTCATTTCTATTCGAAGTTTTACAAATTTGTAAGTCCTCACATATTTGTTAAATTTTAGCAACTTTAATGATTTTCTTCAATGCTTTCAAAAATGATGATCCCGATGAAAAAGGTTATATAGAACCTACAAAAAACATTCATATATACAATATTTTACCTTAAAAAGTTATTGTAAACGTAAACTTAATGTACGTTGGGATTTGAAACAAGATGATTCACAGAGAGATGTTATAGAAACATACCTGAAGACATTATCGCGGTACCTTCTTGCTCAAACCTTATGTTATCACAATTAACAGCGGCGAGAAAGTGTTTACAGAACTATATGATTACCCTAGTGAGTGGAATGGGATGACCAATTTATAGAAGCTGAGATTTAATCTTGACCGTCCATCAAAAACCAACCTAACATATGAAATTTGTTTTTTCTTTAGACATTACTTACCAAATTTACATTAATTGGGTCACAAATAAAATAAATTAATCCAAACATTTACTATAAAAAGAAGCAAATAATTATCCTAGCATTCAATTTCAAACTCAATATAGGTGTAGTTATTGACTTAAAATATTATTTTTAGAATATTATTTATTGTTTATTTATAATTTAACATTTACTATTTTAAATTTTCATTTATTGATTGAATGTAAAGTTTGTTTCTCTAGTTTGCTCTTCTAATTTTATGCCGTACATGCTGAAAAATTTAAGTACTAATAAAAATTTCACTTATGATAGGATTATATTTAAAATTTAGAAAACAAATACAATTAACTTTTAGCATTGATAAATACTATTAAAAGGTGTCAAAAATGCAAATTTTATTCTTCCATCTCAATTGAAAAAATGAGTTTCAATATCCGATAGTTAATTAATTAAATTTTATATGCATGCACTATTAACATAAAATTAAGCTAATAAATGATTAAATATATATATACATATACATATACATATAAATACATATACATATATATACATATATATGTATATATATGTATATATATGTATGTATATATATGTATATATATATGTATGTATATATATGTATATATTAATAGAAATATTTTCTTTTAAATTTTAGATGTCATTGTAGCGGTCCAATCCACTAGTGATATTGTCCGCTCTAGGCCTAGACCTGCAAGAATTTAACATGTGTCACTAGTTGTTAAGGTATGGTTACTTATATACCCAACATCTAACCTATGTTTTGCCAATGTGGACTTTTTATCTTAAGATGGGGTGTCACATACACCCCTCTATGGACTCACCGTCCTCGCTAAGGTTTGTCCTAATTTTTTTAGACTCAAAACTAAGGTTTGTCCCGCCATGTCAGAATTTGCCTAAACTCGGTTAAACTTGGGCGCACATCGACAAGGCTGATACAACATTGTCTCTGATACCATTTTCTAATGGCCCAATCCGCTTTTGATATTGTCTGCTTTGGTCCATTACCCACACGACTTTCAAAGGTGTCACTAATGGGTAAGATCCTTACTTATATAGCCAACATATGTCAACAACTTAGATTTTTATTGTGCAACACAATATGAAGTTAGTATTGATATAAATTCAATTAAGTATTCAAGTATTCATCTATCCGCGTTGTATCGACAAATACAAATTTCTTCAGAGACCTTATAAATGACCAAAATAGATACACTAAAATAAAGTTTAACTTTCAATACAATTAGCAATTACATGATGAAGATAAATCACGATTAAAAGGCTAAAATCGTGAAAAAATTGTGATAAGTGAGGAGATTTGAAAAAAAAACTCACTGACTGTGGATAAAAAGAGAGAAAGACCAAAATAATAATTAGAAATAAAGAGAGAGAGAAATTAAAAAATTGGCATGAATATAGGCCTTATTTGTTTCCATTAAGATTAAGACGTCTGAATCTATATAAACATCTGAATATTAAGATGTGCATTAAGATCTAAATTCCTAGATCTGAATGCACATCTGAATATTAAGATGTGGTCTCTAGATCTGAACACTAAATCATTAAGATTGTTTATTTTCAATATCTGAATGTGCATATGAAATTAAATATTATAAAATATTTTAAAATTTTCATTTCAACAAAAAAGTATTACTTTTTAATAAAAAAAAATTAATGTTTATATTTGATTAAAAAATTATATGATACGCAAATAAAAAAATTATATATCGATACAAAATTATTGTAACGTGATTTCTTTTAAGAATTCAACATAAACATCTTTTTATAAGAAAATATATCACGAAAAAATATATATTTCATAACTATAATATAATATCAAAAAGTTCAATAAGTATGATACATACTAGTCGAAAAATAATAAATAAGTTTTCAAATCATCAAGCTTAACATATATTATAGTTAATCAGAAAAATTAAAGAATTCCTATTTTTTCTCGAATGACCTTCATCCAATTCTCTAACTTGTGAACCTCTAGCGTCATCATGTTTTTTTGTAGATGTCACCTTCACAAAATATACTGACAAATGTACTATATAATTGTTCTTCCCATTCAAGTCCATCTAATTTTTTCTTTGCATTTTTCAAAGCTAGATGCGCTATTTTTTTTAATCAATAACTCCAAAGCAGTACTCATCTTTTCATAAATTTCTTCCTCAAAACTTTTCTTTCAATCAAAACTGAAGTGTGACATCTTGCAATTTGAAATAACTATGAAGAAGCTTGAAATTGGAAATAGTCATTTTTTTGGAAAGAGTTCAAAATCTGGAAATTTAGTCAAGTATGGAAAAAAAATGAGTTTTTGGTCAATTTCAAACGGTCATAACTCCTAGCTCAGGATGAGTTTGGTGTATTTCCAGTTATGTTTGGAAAGCCCTTGGACTGATCTTTCCAACGCCGCCGCGTTTGCTCGATTTCGAGTTCGTATGAGTGAGTTATGCCCTTTGGAAGTTGGGTTGTTGGCATAGGGCAGTTTAGTCCGAATTTGTAAGGGTATTTTGGTCTTTTCCCTAACCATTTCTTTTGTTATTAAGGGTCTAGACTGATTTTAAATCAGTTTTCCCTTTTAAAAGTGAGAGTTAGGGCTTTTGAGAGAAGAGGAGAAAGAGAAGGAAAAGCAAGGTTCGTCAAGATCGTCGTGGTTTTCGTCGGGGGTGATCCCTAATAAGGTATGTGAGATCATAGTGTTGGGTTGGTTCATTCCCCCACACGCCATACTCGTTTTAATTTCGAGAAAAAGATTGGTTGTGGTTGTTGAAATCTTGTGGTTGTGTTGAAGTTTCTTGTTGATTTGGTACATGTTTCCGGTTGTGATTTCAAGTTGAATCTATTGTATGTTGAGGGTTTTAATGATATTAAGTGTTTGGGGAAATAACTTTGGAGGTTAAGAGGGTTTAGAGTTGGAGAAACTAAGGAGAAAAGTCGGATTTTCTGGGCAAAAGGTTGGGGCGTCGCGCCAGCCAGCGCGCCCCAAAAGGGACTCTGAAGTCCCCCCCCTTGGGGCGGCGCGCCATGCAGTGCGCCCAGCAGGCCCTCTGGAATTTGAGGGCTGGCACCTCGTGCCTCTCAGAGCGTCAAGGACACCAGTTCTCCTCATTCCTTCCCCACTTTTTCATACATGTTCCTTGGTAATGTACCTATGTTGTATAGTTGTTTTCAACACTCTAAGGTACATCTAAACCTCACGAACTCATCCATAAACATGAGATCATTACCTTTGAATTCGTAATCCAATTCGAGGAAAGTTAGGATCAAAGTCGAGTGAAGTTAGAGTCAAGTCTAGAAGTTAAGAAGCAAGTCTTTAAAGTTTTTCAAGAGTCTTTCTTGAACGTTTTAACTTCGTTTTAAGGCTCAAGTTTCAAGTTAAGCCAAGAGTATAGAGTTGAGTTCATTTCTCAAAAGTTATTAGGGGACTAAGTATTCCCAAAGAAGTTTATAAATGTTTTTACATTTGAGTAAGAAAGGAACTATGTTTTCCAAGAGAGCCTTTGGGCTAAGCTTTGAGCAATTATCTCATACTAAAGAAAGATGTGTTTAAAACACTTATGAGCTAAAGTATATTTTTGGGAGTAGTATTGAGCACAGAATTGGGGACATGAGTTCATATTAACTCAACTCTCCATAAGAACCATGTAGCCAAACATGGGATTTAACGGGTCATACTTTTTAGATAATCACATAAGTTAAGCTAGTGGATCCACTAAGTTAAGTAAGGTCCTATATCACGGCAAGGTATAGGATGGTCCTTGGGAAACGTGAGGTAAAACGTTGTATCATCACTAGGGCTCATAGTGGTGGTTGTCGGTTAAAGAATCTCCCACTAAAGTTATATTACTTTTATATAAGTAAAGTTGAGTTTGTTATTGTTTTATCCTTAACGAACTAAGTTGTTTACACTGTTTTACAAGCTTTATATATATTGCATGTGTCTTATTGCTTTATATTGAGTTCGGTTATTCATGAGTTGAACAGAGCCAAGGTAAGAGTTCCTTTGTACTCCTTTCAAGCTTAAGTTGTTGTTTAGTTTTCCAACTCGCATACTCGTACATTCAATGTACTGATGCCAGTTGTCCTGCATCTTATGATGATGCAGATGCAGGTACCCAGGATCAGCATCCAGCACGCCGTTGATCCAGCTGAGCACTCTAGAGTCAGTGGTGAGCCTCCTTGCCTTCCGGAGGACTCTGTTATTTTGTGTTCCTAGTTTTGTTTTATTAGAATGTTGCGGGGTCTGTCCCAACATCCATCTCAGTGTTATAGAGGATTCATAGACCGTCAGTTAGTTAGTATTTAGTCTCTCATTTGTGTATATATATAAATATTCTATTTTGAGACACGAGTTGCCTTTTTGGCCAGATTTTAACAGTTAGGTTGTTTTATGACCTTTCATTGCATTGAGTTATTCTGTTGAGTTAAGTTTCCGCTGAGTTAAAAAAGCCAGGTCAAGGGTTCACTTGGGGCCAGCAATGGTCTTCGAGTGTCGGCCACGTCCAGGGTGTAGGCTCGGGGCGTGACATGAAGATTAGAATAAAGAATTATTAGGAGCTCCATCATTTTGGTCACCAACTAGATATAGTTATAACTTGAACTCCACTCATGAACTCTTGTTGCAGCACAACCTTCAAAAAAATTGTACACAAATTTAGAAAGGGTAGAGATGAAGTCTTCAATGCCTTTGGCCTAAACAAATTATATTACCATAAGAGACCTCAGACATGTATATATAGTTGTTGTTTTTAATCAAGACTACTAATTTTTTACTCAAAAATCTTGAGTTCTTGATAAACAT